GATTTTACCATGTTGGCCAGGCTGGTCTTGAACTCCTGACCTCAAGCTATCCACCTGCCTTCGCCTCCCAAAGTGCTGGGATTACAGGTGTGAGCTACTATGCTCGGCCCCCCTCATCTTTTTTTTTTTTTAAAGGAAAGTTGGGGCCTTCCATTCCTTCCAGTAAATACTCATTTTTCTTCCATGTCTGAGGTGAATGCAGGGTGGCTGATCACCTGGCCGACATCTTAGGAAACGCAAGCACTGGTCTGGGAAACTGCTGGGCTGGCCTAACACCTGGCGCTGTGGTGCAGGCAAGCAAGAGGTGGCGTAGTGCTGGCTGGTGGGGTCCGGCTTCCTTCTTGGCCTCAGTGGCTCATCTGTCCAATGGGAGTGGGGCTTGGTCTCCAGAGTCTTCCACTCTGAAACTTGATTTTGGGAGGAAAACATTTGCAGGGAGGTAGAGGGGCCTGAGATGAGAGAGGTGGGTGGGACCCTAGGATACGAGGGCTTTTGATAGTGGGGTGCTTCAGGGCTCTGTAGCCGCCCCTCTTCTGGCAGCTCCAGCACCTCCCAGGCATTTGACTTCCGGTTCCAGCCTAGGCAGTGTGGGTCACGTGCTCCGAGGTTGGCTTTCACTGAAACTGCAGACTTTCTGCTGTACCAGCCCTACTTTGTGTCATCAGCCACCAGGACCTCTTCCTCATCTGGGCTAATGTGCAGCCCCTCTGGCAGGGATGACCATGTGTGGAGCTGGCCCCTCTTAGCAGCATAATGTCCTGCTTTTAGCATAAGGATATGCAGCTCTTTAAAATGGGAATCTAGTGCGTCCCATGGTGTGGAGGAAGGGCCTGAACACCACTGGGTGCTGGTGAGAACAAGAGTGAGCAGGGGCTGGGGGAGCTTCTGGATGGCTTTCTTCCTCAATTGGAGAAGAGTCTGGTGAACAGGCAGGCGGGGGCCAAGGTGGGCACGTTTCATTCCTTCTGAAGGAAGAGGCCTCCCTTGGGCCACTGTGCGCTGTCTCTGTTCACCAGACCAGTGAGGGGGAAGAGTGCTCGGGGACCCGAGTCAGCCCTGACCTTGTGTTGCGTCTCTACCACACGCTGCTGTGGTACCCTGGGCAAGTGAGTTCACCTCTGAACTGTCCTCGGCTCTAAAGTAGGAACAATGCCAGCCCTGCTTACCTCACAGGTCGTTGTAGGGAGCAGATGGAGCGTAGCAGGAGTGAGGCAGTTAGAGAGAAAGTTGGTATACTTGGGCTCAGTTCTAATAACTGCCATTATTAAGTGCTACCCTGGGGGAATCCTGCTTTAGCTGCAAAATGGTGTCACCAACCAAATGCTTAGAAGAAACCATTCCCTGAACCACAGCCACAGGAAGGTTGCATAGTCAACCCCGTAAAATCCCTTTATTCCCTCCTCCTCTCTGCTATTGGGTTGTCTGAACTCTCTCCTTGCCCCATGCACGATTTGTCAGAGCAGAACTCGGCCAGATCTGCCCCCTCCTTTCCTCCAGGTGAGGTGAGTGAGTGCCGGAGCCCAGGCTGGTGCCAGCTCTCCCATTCTGGGTGCTGTTTCGAAGCATTCCAGCCCCCAGTTCAGGCCCTAGAAGCCCCTGAGTAAAACACGGTTTTGTGCAGAGAAACATCTTCAATTGGGGCCTGCCGTTTATTTGTACATGTCTCTGTCTCTGTGCACTGTATTTTCTGTCCCGTTTGAGTTGCCTGGAGGCTCTGGCACCCTCTCTCCTCTGCCTGGGCTTCTTCCATCCCTATTCTGTTGTAGCAAAGTTACTTTTCCCAGGTCTTTTTCTCTTAATAGGCAAAGACCTCATAGAACCCAGGGCAAGGCTCAGCTCCTGTGGTGCCATTTTATAGTCCTGGCGAGCTTGTAGATGGACCCTGTTCACTGCCACCTCTCCCTGCCCTCCCTTTCCCCTGACCCCAGCCCCCTTACTGCCAAAGAAGCATAAAACTACAGAGGTACCAACCTGGATTTCCAGTTCATCCTCTGCCCCTTCTGCCTGGCCTCCATCTTCTGGGTGGAGCCAGCTTTCCAGAGCTCGGGACTGCAGCTTGGCTGGTGGCTTCTTGGACTCCTTTCTCTGCTGGAAGGGGGAAATGGTCTCTTTAGGACCCTAAGCCCTCATGTTCTTCCAGAAACAGCATGGTCAGGCCCAGAGTCCTCTGTGCTCTGGGAAAAGGCTGAAGCCCAGAGATTTTGCCCTGGGTCACAGAGCTGGCTGCTAAGTGGCAGGGCTGGAACAAGATAGCTAGTCAGCAAGTGGGGCTTTGTGGGGAGGTCTCACCTGCATTCTCTGGTGTTCAGGGCTCAGGAAGCTGGAGCCTGCCATGGCCAAGTCCAGCCAGAGCACGCTCAGGAGCAGGAGGCTGCAGATGGTCTTTGGGGAGGGCATGGCCTCAGCTGGGTTGAAGACAGGTGGGCCTGGGGGAGAGAGGGTCTCCAGCCAGCTGCCTCCCCTTCTCATGTGCCTCTGAGCTTGCTCAGGTAGGAGCCTGGCAGATGGGGTGAGGGGCTTTACCATCTGGGGTCCTGACTGCTATGTAGAGAGGACCCCTCTCCACCTCCCAAGGTAGAAGAGAATGGAAGGATGTGTGTTCTCTTCAAGGTTGTTCAGAGCAGAACGCCTGGCAGCAGGACTTGATAGGGGCTGAAAGGCACTCCTCCCCAGTGCCTTTCATCCCAGGCTATGAGGAGCTCGTTGCAAGTCTTTATGAGTGAGGAAGCTGAACCAGCAAGGGCCCCAGGGGACGTGGGTGGGGGTTAGAGGCAGCTCCTAAGCCAAGCTTTGTCTCTGAGCAGCCAGCCAGACTCAGATTGTCCAACATCCCATGTTTAGAGGGAGCTCTTGAGGCCCAGAGAAGTTAAATGAACGGGCAACAGTCACGGATGATAAACCTATCCGCAAACATGCACGCAGAGAGTAGAGAGAGAACCTACCTGCGATTCCTGGTGGAGGTGGTGCCTGGTGGCTGTTGGGTCCTTATATAGGAAGGCTGATGTTTGTTTTAAACCAGCAACCCCATCTCAGAGGTGGCCTAGCTTCTTTGGGGCTGATGTACATTCCTTGGGAACTAAAAATGTTCGTGTCCTCTGTGTAGAAGTCAACAGTGGAGGTCAGATGCCCTGCGGAATTGCTGGGTTGGTGAGAGGTGAAGCATGTGCTCCAGCTGTCCCTGGAACACAAGGTGGCAGGGTGCCCCGAGTGGGCATGACCCTGGTGGAGGAGGGAGGGAGGAGAGGGACTCTGGGGTCTGGGTGCAGCTTTGTTGCTGTGTGACCTTAGCATACTCGCCCTTTCTCCCTGGGTAAAATGAGGCTGTTGTCACTAGGAGAGCTCCGAAACCTCCCCAGTCCGGATCCCTGTTGTTTCCTGCGTGCTGATGCTGCTCTGGCCTCTGTGAGCCCCGGGAGCCTATGGGGAGCCAGGCTGGTGATCTTCTACCTTCCCGAGGAGGAGAGTCCCACCTCCCGGGTGAGCAGAATGCTCCTGACCGTCCTGTGGAGCAAGCTGGTGTGGGGATAACCTCAGCCAGTGGCTATGCTTAAGTCATTTCTGCCAGGTGCTGTGAGATGACTGCTTGGCTTGGTGTTTTTTCACATGGCAGCTTGCCTTGCCTTCCCCAAGCAGTTTTGGTCTCTAGTTTAGCCTGTTCTGAGACGGAAGCACGTTGGACCTGGAGGTGGAAGATCTGCACTCAGCATGGGCACTGCTCCTCCCTCATTGACTGGCCTTAGGCAGACCACGAATGATTCCCCTTACCCAGAGTCTTTGAGGGTGAACTGAGGCGATGGGAGAAAGTGGCTTCTAACCTGTAAAACAGCCTGCAGATGACAATGGTTTCATACCAGGCCCACAGGACTTGCCAGCATAGGTCAAGGCCACTGCCTCATTTCCCTTGGCCCCAGGAATTCCTTTCTTTCTGGAGTGCTTTATCCAGCTGGGTGCCCAGGCAGGAACCCCTAAGGGCCAGTGAGTTGTCGGCAGAGAAGTTCTAGCAGTTCAGGAGAGGAGCTAACCTGAGGCTGGGGCTTGTGGCAGTGATGTTAGCAAAGGCTAACATCCAGGAAGAGGCCTGTGGTGAACTTGGGGCAGTGCTTTGAAGGGAGGGCTTCTCGGCAAGCGGAGGGGAGGTGAAGGCGTGGGTAGAGTATGTCAGGGCAGCAAGGAGAAACCTGGGTGGCTTGGAGGATGGTGGTGATGAAGTCTTAACAAAAATGTTAGAAGGTGCCTTGGGAGCTGCTAGCCCAAGAAGTTTGGGCTTTATTTGTAGGAGGGAAGCCACTGAAGATCCTTGAGCAGAAGAGAGACAGACCATAGAATGAAAGAGCTGGAAAGACTTTCAAACCCTGGGAGGCTGAATCCTTTATTTCACTGGAATAAAAACTGAATGCCAAGAGGGTTGCACTTTCCCCAAAGGCCATACAGCTATCAGGGGCAGTGCTGGGGCTCCCACCCGAGTCTCTTGGTTCTAGTAAGTGCTCTTTCTGATATGCCATCTGGCTCCGTAATGAACATGGTATTCCAGGAAAATCAGTCTGCGCTGAACAGGATAGAGTTGGGGCAGGATGTCCAGTGAGGATGTCCATTGAGGCAGTAGAGCAGTGGATTGCCAAATGACCACCTACTCTGACCTGAAAGATCAACCTCAGGGTGGATGGGAGCTTTCTAGTCTCTTGGGACAGCAGAAGCACAGGCCAGGTTGGACTGAATCGTTAAGTGGGACGTGATGGACAAAGTACCTCCTGTTGGTAAACATCTCCCCACTGGCCCACCGTGGTGGCTAAAATCCCGTCTTTAGTCCCAGCAACATGTGAGCATGTCACCAGGAGGCCTTCACAGACCTGTCCACCACCTCAGTGTAGACCTCTTTTGGCCCTGGAGCCCAGAGAGGCTGAAGTGGAGAGGGTGGAGGGGTCTGTAGTCCTCAGAGAAGACTTGAGCAGCTTTTTCAGAGCCACCAACTACCCCATTAAAAAAAAAAAAAAAAAAAATCCCCAAACAGAAAAACCCTAACTATGGTGACCAGGCACCTCCTGAGACATGAAGCCTCTGCTTACCCAGACCCCAGAGGCCTCTCCAGGCAGAGCTGCCAGTGTTGATCTTAGATAAGACCACCAGTGAGTAAACACCCACTTCGAGCTGTGTTATATTTGGGGAACTGAAATGTCCCTTGGGAGTTGGAAACTCCACGAGCCACATACCACAGAGTCGAGGAAGGAAGAGCTGATGGATGGAATCTGGTGTGTATGGTGGAGGAGGCACCCGGAAGCTACCTCACCATCCTCTCTGTTACGGAACAGAGGAGAGATGCAGGCGGAGGACACAGCAAGTCTGAATCACGAGGAACTTGGAAGAAGCCTGAGCAACCTGGAGGGGACTGGCTGACTAGCCTCATGCTTTCCAAGTGTGAATAATAACCAAGCCCAGTTTGGCAACTCGTTGAGGGTGAGGACGAAGCCACGATCTCCTTTTCGGACCTTGGTGGGGGCTCAGGAAGCAGGTTCCCTTCAGGCGGTAGCTTTCCTTCCCTTTGCAGGTCTCTTGAGGGCCTGCCTTCATGAAGGCACATGAGTGACTTATCATTTGTGAATTAATTGCTATATGTAAAGAGCGTCTGAGGACAAATTATCTTCATATACTTTTCATTATAATTTTATTTGTACTGATAATTAGTTGGTTTAGCAAGCACTTTTTTCATAGATTTGGCTAAACTTCAGTCTGAAAGAGGCAGATTCTGAGGTTCTAGAAAGAGATTTTATTCTTTGAGATAGGACCATTTGGTGGGATTTCTTTTTGTCCTAGTTGTAGCTTCCATAATTTCTAGATTCACATTTTCCAATAGATATATGCAGGCATACCTCGGAGGCATTGCAGCTTTGGTTCCAGACCATAATGAAGTGAGTCGCATGAATTTTGTTGCTTTCCCAGTGAATATAAAACTTATGCTTCTACCATACTGTAGTCTGTTAAGTGTGCAACAGCATATGTCTAAATATGTATGTTTTTTTTTGAGACAGGATTTTGCTGTGTCACCCATGCTGGAGTGCAGTGGCACTATTATGGCTCACTGCAGCCTCAACCTCCCTGGACTCAGATGATCCTTCCACCTCAGCCTCCCAAGTAGCTGGGACTACAGGTACACACCATCACACTCAGTTAATTTTTGTATGTTTTGTAGAGACAGGGTCTTGCCATGTTGCCCAGGCTAGTCTTGATCTCCTGGCTTAAGTGATCCTCCTGCATTGGCCTCCCAAAGTGCTGGGATTACAGATGTGTAGTCTTTGAAATCTGGTGTGTATTCTTATAGCGCGTTTCAATTTGGACTCGCCGTTTCAAATGCACAGCAGCCACGTGGCTGATTCTAGATAGGTGGCCGTCACTCTGAAATCCTCCCTAACCTCAGCCATACTCTCTCATCCCTCTTCTTCGCCAAGCCCGGCCTCTCCCACTGGGGCTTCCCTAGCCTCCAGCCATCTTGGGGCCACAGCTCTAACACTTTGCCTCTCTTGTGTCTTCAGTCTGTTCCCTTCCAATGGCTTCTGCTTTCTGCCTTAAAATACACCCAGGTCCCTAATCCTGAAAAAGCTTGTTTTGCACCGATCTCACCCTCCCCTCATGTTATGTCTCCATTTCCTTTTCCTTTCCTCGTGTCCCCTTCTTTACTGTGCCCTGGCTCCTCAAAACTTGAACTTGCCTCTCATCGCCACCACTGTACTGAAACTGTTCTCTCAGCGTTGCTGATCGTCCAGCCTTTTAGTGTATGGACTGCTAAGAGCCATAGGACCTCAGGGTGGGCTGTGGCCTGGAGGGCCATCTAATCTCAACTTCCAGAAGACCTGTGTTGGGTTGTGTTGGATTCATGAGGAAAGCTTCATAAGTTTTATGCACGTTTGTAAGACTCCATCCTTGGATTCTGATACAGTAGCTCTGGTGTGGGGGCCCCAGAATCTGTTTCAGGTATCCCAGGTAGTTTTGATTATAAATTACCAAGTATCCCAGGTAAATTTTGATTATAATGCTTGCTTCCGGCAGAAAATTTAAACATGGAAGATGCAGTCTTTCTCTCTGAATATCCTAATTGTTTCTACTAATGTGAATACCTTATATAACCACAGTACATTTATCGAAATTAAAACACCAGTGTTGGCACGTTACTGTTAATCTCCAGACTATTTGTAAGTCACTAGTTTTTCCACTGTCCCATCTGTTCTTCCTTTTTTTTTTTTTT